GTGTCTCTGATGATGAATCCACGACGGATGTCGAAAAGTCAGGTGAATAAACGTACTGTGTCAGCGATCAAGTCTTCTTCTTCTTCTTCTTCTTCTTCTGAAAAGGCATTTGTACAGAGTAAATTTGCAAAACCTGTATGCGAACGTTTTGTAATTAATTTAAATTTTCAGTTCCTTGAAGCTGTAGCATAAGTTACTGCCTCAGTATATATTCCAATTTGAAGCGTGAATTCATACTGGTATTAGTTAAATTTGACGATACTATGCTGGGGTCCGGCTTCCATTAGATATTAGAAATAATGAAAGTATACATACACCAAGCTTTAATTGGATTCCATACAGCATATAAAATTAATTCCCGAATGATTCCCAACCCAATGTTAAGCTATAAAGTGTTTTTGGGGCATTTTCAGCTTATACCACTGTATTCATTCACCCATTTTCATGGATAGGCATTGTAGAGTTCTATTTATTACGGTTAGCTATTTGAGACTAAGTTTCGCGTTTTAGGAACCATTGCCTTTTCTTTACAATATCGGTATTTAAAAGACATGTTAGTAGGAGCTCCTGTAATATAAATAACTCTGCACTAAATTCTGGGTAGCTTAAGATTAAGTTGAATGCAAGGGTTTAGTGTTATGTTTAAGGTTAGAGGTGAGATAGAGGCTAGGGATAAGGTCAGGTAGGGATTCCTTATTCCTGTCTCGCATCTAACTGTTTTTTGATTGTTCCTCATTTATATTTGGGGACTAGTGTTTGATAGCTTTGGTTTGGTTTTCCAGCTAGAATATCTTTTTTGTAGACATGAATATATTTTACCAACTCAACTTTAAGCATGCTTTTCCTTCCGTCCAATCCTTAGCTGGAAATGAAAAAGAATGTGAAGTATCTGCTGCAGATTCTTCGATTGGTGTATAACTACTCATCTCACTACCGCTCCTTTTCAAACATGTCCATCCTATTCGTGAAGGTAATGATTATGAAGTTTCGATCAAATGCACGTTTCCTTATTTCTTCTAAGTTGCATGCACATTTCACTGTTTTGAATCCTCCACTCCCTTATTCGTCCACTGACACTACGCACAGGAGCCGAATTAAATGCTGGTGAAAATGTGAACTGCAGATTGGAACGCCTCAATTAATTCTCTCTGTAGTACAGGCAGCAAACAGGGAATTTTATCTTAGTTTACAAGATAATACAGGGTCTTGAGAAAGGATTGCGCTTTGAGAACATGTTTAACTCTAAGTTTAATTTCTGCTCTGAATTCTGCACACAATGGCGTAGCCTCCTGCAATCAATCGTGGAGGCGACGTCCCTGTCGCTCTTCAAATAGCGTTTGAATAATTATATGTGTCCCCTGTTTTCTTTCGGCAGTATGAACTCGGACTAATACCACACCAACTCCAGACAAGAGTTATTTGGAAAAACAATGCTACTCACAGTTTGTAAATAACATGGTAAAAGTGGTTATTTGTAAGCGTGCGTATACAAATGTGTGACACTGGCATGAAATTAATAGGGTTTTCAAAGGCATTTTCTATTACCTTTACTTAGAAAACCGAAATCGAAACTTTAATACTTCACTTTTATGTTCTTTAGATCACGAATCAGATGATTACCAGTTGCAAGGGCTACATCACGGACTGCGACGAAAGTCCAATTTGGACGCAGGATCCAGAAAAACTATTAAAACGACTGAATGACTGTATCGACTTGAATAAGGCCTATCAAAACGCTTATAAGGAGGCCCAAGACACAATTGCAGAGCGGGAGAAACGGCTAAACTTCTCAAAGGTGCAGATTTTCGGAGATTTTGACGAGTTTGCAACACGCCTGGAGGCTATAATTCATATAATAAAGACAATGAAAGAATACAGCATCCTGGAGACGGTCTTCATCGAAGGTAGGGCTAATTTTAATTGTCAACTACTTGCAAATGCTTCTTTAATGAATCCGATTGTTAGCACAGCAGACAATGCCCCCTCCTTCAAATGCGCACCTGATTAATGTTGATTCGGGCTGCCCTTCCCCCCCTCATCTAGGCAAACTCAAGATTCTGCAACATTATCGGAAAATCAAGGCCTTCATCACTTCTCGCACCTACGATTACTTGGATACAGGAAACGTGCAGTTTTCCAAGGACTTTGAGTACTTCGGTACGGAAGTAGCAAAACTTAAGGCAAGTTTTCCCAGATTCGGGTCTACTCTATCGATCCTATAATGAGGCTTGAAATGACGGATATAATAATTTTGATAAGAGAGATTGTTGGTGTTATTATTGGTATTAATGTTATCGTTATGTCTGCGTTTGCTATTTGCTCTATAGCATTATGATTCTTGATTTATTTCTACCTGTCCAACACAGTAAGGTTACCACAATGGGTTAAGTTAATAAGAAAAACCTTCGCC